GCCAACATCGAACTTAAGACCAAAGAAAAGCCCCCTTCCTGATTCTAGTCTGCCTAAATTCATAACACTAACTACAAAAATCAAACCGAACCTAAAAAATTAAAAGAGAAACACGTGTATTTCCTACAGCATTTCTAGGTACAGTAGTCAAATAGGAAATCAGAGAGAAACGGACCTTAGGTGGGAGTAAGACGTCGAGGTCGGCATCGGAAGCTCGAGGAAACTTATCGCGGAGGTTCCGCTTGAGCTTCTTCCTGAGTCTCTAGTGAGATTTGGTCTCGACTGCCTTCTTGAACATTTTGAGTTATTATAATTGAGATAATCACAGTTAAGATTGTTTTTGATTATATAATATATATATATATATGTATATAACCGGCTTATAAATCAAACAGAACGTGTCCACTGCTCGCAGTCGATTTAAGGAGAGTGAAGCTTAAGGGGGAGAGTTCAGTTGTGCGCGTTTTAGGAGTCGCGAAGCTTCTGGAGAGATGTGTATTTGCAGTACCTGCGTCCTGTGCTCACCGCCGTGTGCTAACCACTAGGCACTTAGATATATATATATATATATAGTCTCACGAGTCACGACTCTCGTGATCTTGATTGAATTTCGTTTCGGTTCTTTTAAAAAGGTTATAGAGAAAAATGTAGAATGATATTGGTTCTTTAATAATAATAATAATAATAACGGAATTTTTTTTTTTTTTTTTTACAATTTATGAAATCTTGAATCTACAAAATCGTCAAAATTTAATGATTTTTTGGGAAAAAAAAATCAAGGGTAAAAAATTGCTTATCCTTAATTCCAGTACTTATTTATGCACTCATTATATAATATTATAGTAATAATATTTAGTATTATTCAAATCTAGATCCTGTAATTTTTATATTATATATACAATTCAATTTTTATTAATTTAAGTAAAAATATTAATTTTGTGTTATGATATTATAGGTTTTTTTTAAGTTCTTCTTAATTTTAAATTTAAACATTCATGTTTAGAGATATATTTATTAGAAATCAACAGTTTTTGTATAAAATAATTAAAAAGACAAAGTATTGGGTTGTTAAAAAAATTATATATTTTAAATTATAGTAGAACTGATATTAATAATAATTTCCTAAGCTGTTGTTGTTATAAAAAAAAATTCAAATCAAACCAGATTTAATAAATTCAAACATACAATCTCATACTGAATCAATAAAAAAAAACAAAAGTGTACATGATTCTATTATAAAAATTTTAATTACGTCATATAGTAGATACTTCTGAATCAACACACTGTCTCAAAAATTATTTTTTTCTAGTAACAAGATTTTAGAAAAATAAAATAAATTCGGAGAACGTAACCGCCTATTTATTTTGACATACTTTTATATTTGTCATTTTACCAATCATAAAATAAAAAATTATAAAAATATTATCCATACAAATTAAATTTATACATAAAATCCGATGCATTAAAGTTCAATTCTATTTAATCGTATTTGATTACTTTTAAACGAACTTATAAATCGATAACTTATTATTATATATAAGAATGTCATAAGTCTCCATTCAAATTTAATTTTCAGCAATTTAGACAATAACTAAAAAAAAATTAATATTTTATCAGTTATTTCACATATAGTAGAACAAATGTTAAGAGAGGCAACAAAACCGAAATTGAAGATTATAAGCAAAAAGATATCAGGCGGAAGAAAATTAATGGAGTTCAAGTTTAGCCTGAAATTTTTTGACTCCCTGCTTGGTAGAGCGTTCAAGATATTTTCACACATTTCTATAAACTGCCAATTCCGTGGAGGGGTAAGAACTCTATACTGATAGTAAGTAAATGGTAACAGTACAGCTCAGTAGTAAGAAAATCATGGAAGAGCTTGTACAACAAAGCCTCGTGAGAGCCAAGATTCCAAAACTTAAGCTTACAAGAAACACTGCAATACCTCTGTTCTCCATCGATGAATGATTCTCCTCCATCTTTTCAACCTTAAACCTGTAAAAGTTTTAGCACAATGATTAACACCTTTGCATAGATAAGAAAAAGGAACTTTCACAGGTGCAGAAAAAAAAAAAACCCTAGATCCACCCACACCAAACTCCTTTATTTCAGGAGAGGAGATGTAGGTTAGGGATTAGGTATTCCAATTTCCGAGCAATTACTCAATATTTTTTCATATTCCACTTTTCTGTTCATATTGTCCCAGCCAATCGTTTCCCAACGTTCTTGAAAATGTTAATAGAGAAGCCAATCAACTTAAAACAATCAAATTATGAATGTTTCGTACTTGCTTGATAAGAATAATTAGACTATTTTCATATATGCCATTAGCCATTCAAAAATTACTGTGGGTGGTCAAAATCATAAGATTTCACAGACCATGTAGAAAAACAATTATTCTTACGGTTTTGATCTTCAATCTTCATGGTTGCCCGTTTTCTTTGGAACGGTATCCTGTTATACCCTTTCAATTTACTTTTAATAGGCAAACACTGACAATAAATATGTTTTAAACAGATAGATGTCGAAGTCCTAGAAGACAATTAATTCATTTCCTTTAATTATTAAAAGAGATTTCGTAAAGAAATTTCAAAAAGAGCAATAACTAGTACTGAACAAACTCAAATAAACATGTATGCTGTGATAATTAGATTTCTTCACCAAAATACTTCCATTGTGTAAATAAAATTGCCATTAGTAGACAAGAAGATCAAGAAACCTGAGAAGGGCAATGTCCTTGCGAAGAGTATGTAAATCAGAAGAATCACGCGATTGCTGGGCAATAAATTCATCAACATCTTTAGCCTGCAAAGAGGATAACATCAAGAATTGAAAGGGAAAACAGGAAAGAAACCAAACAACCAAAACCAAATTAAATCATAAATTCACATACCATGTTTGCCTGAGTGTCGAAAATATTCTTTACATCCGATCTTATCCTTTTTAACAGTAAAACTTCTTCTTCTATATCTTTAGCTAGTTCTGTTACTATATTCCCATATCTGGAATTCAACTCTTCTATGTATCTCTCCAGCACAGACAAATTTATGTCCAGGGACCGGACTTTCTGCAGTAGTATTTTAAGAACAGCATCCCCATGCATCCTACTAGCCTGTTGATGATGAATTTCCTCAACAGGATCTGGAACATTATTCGTCTTCCCAACATCATGTTTAGTAGTTGAACTTTCCACCGAGTAAACAGACTCTACTTCTGCACACAATTCATGAGAATGTACATCACTTTTCGTGGACTCCGATGGGAAAGATACCTGCTTATTGTCACCAGTTCCTTCTTGAGGTCCAAATAAATTATTTTGAGCAGATATCAAATCCTCCAGCATGCGCTCAACAGCATCCACCCCATAGACTTCAACAACACTTAGTGTACAATAAAATTCTGACCCATAATGACTCAATAGGTTGAACTTTAAGTATCTCACCCATTTTGGCTCTTGGAGAACAAACCTCTGAGCATGCTTCACATTTGCAGCAGTAAAATTCCCAAGACTAACCCACGTCTCTGTTGGATAAACCAGACTGCCAAGCAACTCGAAATCTTCTAAATTAGAGGAATAATGTTCAAAATTTGCTATATCAATTGCGTCTACTAAAGTTTCCTCTGAAAGTTCTATAACAGTAAATTTCTCCTCCGTCGAGCATGGATTTCGAAGGTACTTGTCTTTGTCTCTGCATAGGATATTAGAGGCACCCTTTGCTTCCTTGTTAAATGACAAGACCTTCGCTCCCTTTGAAGAAGAAGCATAATTGTACTCTTCCCCACCAGGCTCCACTCTGTGTATTACACTCCCAGGCTGTCCGGTTCCAGATTTTCCTTTGGAACTGAATGTTTTGGTCCTGAATTCATCAAGTCCAGTTGGCACAGCACGAGACAGCCTATCAGACTTCAGAGCATTCTCCTCCGAGTTAGTGCCCGACATGGCACAGTCAACCATATGATTTGTGTTTCCTTCACTGGCAATTGGTTCACCACTCCTGGAACCTTTATCTTCATTGACTTTTGCACGGGAATCTTCATTGTTTTGGGGACATGCAGTTCCTTCTGATGGATTTTTATCGGCAGGATCAGAATATTTTTGTGCCAGCTGAGACCCATGCCAAGTTGATGAACCAACTGGAAGCACTGCAGATGCATCTATATTTAAACAAAAGAAATTAGTGTCTGATAAAAACTAAACAGACTGTGAGGAAGAATAACCTGAAAATGAATCACACGAGTTCATTAGATTTCCTAGGCAAGGGAACTAGACAAAGAACAATACGAACATGATAAAATCAACAAGGAAAAGCAATCTTTTAACAAAGTTTCTCTTAAAAGGGGCAGAAGAAGAGAGGTTGGTCTCTTATTTGGGAAACTGAAATGCATGCTTGGAGTATTTTATTGCAATCTTACCTCTGTAACCGTCACCATAACTGATACGTAAGCTCAAACCGAACACAAGGCCCCATAAAACAAACACCGAGGAAAGAGATACTTTGTACAAGCGATTTCTTCCGGTATTAGCCTTTTCCAAAGCTCTTCGTTGCAGAAGAGCTCTACATGATCTTTGCATCGCACTTCAATCCAGTACAGTGCAGACTATGGAATTCTGAGAGAAAAGATTTCCCTCCACGTCACCTGTAGACGAAGCCCCTGGTATTTAGATTAGATGCTCTTCAACATGAAGAGGAGCGAGAAATGTTAGCTTGTACATTCAGCTAACTAGTTGTAAAGTTGAAAGGTAATGAAACTGACTGAAAGAGTATTTTTTCAGCTACAAATAGCAGTAAATGAAGAAGGAAAAAAACAGAAAAATTGTAATATTAATTAACTTACAAGATATGAGCCCATAATAAACCATGTTTCACAACAAAATGAAGTAATTGGTAAAAGAATTCAAAAAAGGTAACATGAAAGACATTATCTCTAATTAAGTTAAAATTAGATTGTAAATGAATCAGGCATCCATAACCAACTACAACATGGACTAGTCAATACCGTCAAATCATCACCAGAAGCGAAGCAAAATCATACTAACCAGCAAGAATAATGTTCCAACAAACTGATAGTCAAATACATCAAATAACAGCAAGTGTGAACTTAATCCTAATAATGCCAAGAAAATTCAAAGAAAAACACTGAAGTTCTAAATGAAGAAGTTTCCACTATATTGCATTTGCACGAAGAGTAAAAGAAGACCCAAAATGAACATATAGAATAAACCCCCCCGTCAAACCCAATTCAGAATCACTTAGGCTAACTTTTTTCTTCGTCTACTCAAGTGTAACAAATAAAATTAACAGATATTTATTGATAGATAAAAGAGCGACAAAGACAGATTCGAAACTTGGTCAACTTCGAAACAAAATCGAGTTTAGGATTAACGCAAACCTTGAACTATCTACATGAATAATTCAACAAATTCAAGTGGTGATTGAACAGAATTCAAACGCCAAATTTTAGAACCAATTCAAGACGATTCACATAAGAAGAAAAAAACCGAAAGAGAAAACATACCTAAACAACGCAGATCAAAATTAGGCTAAATCCAAACGGATAAAACAAACAGGCAATAAATTCTCAACCGTAGATAGTCGAGGGAAAGAAGAACTTCTCAAAGCACCTGAAAATCTGAAAAAACGAGTAAGTCAAATTATCTTCAACCGTTTTCAGAGTGAAAAAAACGGAGATCAGCGAACAAATCCAGAGAGAAAAAGAAGCGCCCCCCATCGAAACAAACGGCGTCTGTCGGTCGATTCTCTTCTCCGTCCGGGATGTCTTCAGGACCCTTCTGATGGGGTCTTGGAATAACGGCATTCTTCTCCGTCTCCCTCTCGGATTTGAAAAACACTAACCGCCTTCCGGATTCTTTGTTTTAACTTTTTAACTCGAATTTCACTTTTTACCGCTCTATTCTTTCTTCTGTTATTGGACCTGGTGAGCTGAAAAAGCGGTAAATTTGCGACAGTTTTTTAGTAGTAGTTTCGCTTTTGGCATTTTTATTATTTTTATTTTTATTTTATAAAATTAAAATTTGCATAAATTGAACCTTAAATTATAGTTTTGAAATCACTATATGAAAGTAATTATTTTATTTCATCCAGAATCTAAAATTTTAATTAATTAATTAAAATTAGTTTAAAATTATTTGTAAAATATTCTAAACGTTTTATTTTAAATTTTTATTAAAAAAATTAAGTACTTGAAACAGATAAAAATATCATGAATTAAATATTAAATTATAATAAATATCATAAAAATTAAATTGATAATGTAGTTTTTATTTTTATCATCGTAAAAATCTTTTTTTTTTAAATGTAAGTTTAAGTGCAAAACCTTAAATAAAAAATAAAAATAAAAATATTAACTGACAATAGAAGGACAAAAAGAAAAATAAAAAAGAAATTGTATACGTTCCGAGACTACTTTTAAATTTTGAAATACACAAAAGGAGAATATTTGCGTAACGGTTCAAGGTCAGTGACGCGCCACGATGATGTAACAGCATCAGTTTGGCGCAGATTTCTGGTTAATTTCGATTGGGGAAATGCTAGCGTAACATGTATGGTATTTTATGCCCTAATCTATTTAATTCAATTTAATATATTTTTTAAAAAATTAAAATACGTGTTTAAATCGTATCAAATTAAAATTCGTCTGAACTCTACCTTTATATATATATATATAATGAAATTTTTTTCACAATTCTATTCTCATTAACTTAATTTATTCCCTTCTTATTTACAGCCATTTTTTTAATTAATATTTACTTAAACATTTAAATGACCATTATTATTTATAATTTTTTCAATAAAAATGTAATATTTTAAAATATGGGTCTAACCCAATTAATTCTAAATTCTTTAAAATAGTTGAAATAAAGTCCGTTATGATTTAATTTATAGTGATAAATTTATTTGAAATATAAATTTATATATTTTAAGATATTAATTTATTTTCGTATTTTTATTAATAACTTAATCAGAATTATGTTTGCTGAATTTATTGGTCGTTTTAATTTTTTATTATATTATTAATAATTATACCCTTCACATAAAATAAGTTTTTATATGGGAGGGTGCATAAATATCATTTGTTACAAGCATTCCTACATTGAAACTTCCCAAAATATGTCGTATAAGAAAAGTTCGAGAACCTACAAACTTTTGGGAACTTTCCCCATCAAATGAATTCTTGCCGGGCAGGGTGTAATTTATGATTACACACACACGCGCATACATACATACATATATATATATATATATATGTTTGGAATACTTAAAACATTAAGTCCATATCGAAAAGCTGAACAATTATAAATTTGTTTGACGTGGCATTTTCATGTAGGCTTGTTTTTGTTCATTAGATATTTTCTCTTCCCATAATTGTATTGACGACTTTTTTTTTCTCAATATTTCAAAAAATACATTATGTCTTAAAATTTTTATTATTATGAATTCGGAATATACTATCTAATTTAAAAAATATCAAATATTTTTAATTAAGTATCAAAATCTATTCAGTTAACTTATATTCAATTAACATATAATTTTTTATACTATTTTAAACTTACATATGTTATGTTAAAAGTTAATTAAATAAATTTTTATTTTTATTTTTATCGCATCTCATCAATAAGTAGTAGATCTTAACACTTTAAAGTTTTTTAGAATTAAAAATATTTTTTACTTTGCGTCTTAAATTATCTTTTGAATTAGACAATTTTAATCTAATATAATTCGTTAAATTTAAAAAAAAATAAATGAAAAATATGTTTGTGGAATACGCAAAATAAACTAAATTTACATTATTTATATGATATCAACACGCAATTCAAGGTTCCAAACTATAACTTTGTACTATTGATATATAAATGCATAATTCAATACTTCAATACACAATATTATATAAAGAAATAAAAATACCAAATGATTTGTGTTAATTAGATTAATATATTAAGTAAATTGACCGCATACCTACTCATCAAATTTTGTACGGTGGACTCAGTCGGAAATAGAAGATGAAGTTGGAGATTTTTATCAGTCATAAAATTTAGGACTTTTCCAAATAGGAAAACAACGTAATCAAATTTATTTTCGCATGAACTTGGAAATTCTAGATTACTCTTCCAGTGGATTCTCCAGACAAACTCAGTAGCATATTATTACAAAAATATTTTTATGTAATATTTATATAATATTACTATCAATTACTCATATTTCAGTAATAACATTTCTTATTCGTTAATGTTTTAGCCTATTATAAGGAGTGCTGCTTGCAATTTGTTAAATGCCAATTATTTTTTGTCAAAATTTAATTCCATCACCATTTTTGGAAGAAAATTTAGGGATCGGGGAAGAACATATGAAAATATTTACTTCTACTTTCTTTCAATTTGATTATTAAATAATTTTTTGGAGACGAATTGATTGTTGAGAATATTTTATAGATTTAGAAAACTATTAATTTTTTTGAGGTAAATAATATACAACTTTGTAATATATTTTTATGAATAAATACATAGGTAATAACCTTATGCCGAAGCTAAGTATCATAGTATGTAGAAAATTATTTCGACCTTTTATTTTCTAAATCGTACATATATTTATTCATGAAAGTAAGAATTGACATTTGATAATTTTCTATACAATATTGGAAATTGGTTTCAAATTTTTCTCTACAATCGTTGTCGACATTATCGTTTTAATCTAACTTAACCTAGTGGGAACTGAAATTCATCAAGTTGAATTTGAAGTACGGGCGACTACTGCAATATGAGCATTACAGTGGTGGGTGAAAGTGGAAAATGCACTAAAACTGTGGATTCGGTTGCTGTATCAAATTTCGTACAGACTGGTTTAAAGAAACCCAGATTCTTATTTCTTCATCAATTAAAACTACCATTTTAAGAAAATACAATTTCCAACTTCAAATGCACGTAGAGAATCTTACAGTACAGTACAGTACAGTACAGTGATAAACTAAATACGTTGCGGAAAAATGCAGACTTAAACGACGATTAACATTAACCCCCACGTGTAATTTGCTGACCATCTTTACACCCATCACGCCGCTATATCATGCTGGATATGCCTGAGAAGAACCGGGATGACGATATCCGGCGAGCTCAGCTGCGGGAGGTGGCCGTCCGAGGACATGACTTCCACAATGGAGTCGCCACCGAGGTTCTGGTGGAGATACTCAGACACCACCACGGGTACGGCCAGGTCCTTGACGCTCTGCACAATATGGCAAGGGACGGTGACAAGGCCCAGTATCTGTCTCATGTCGCTCTGGAAAATGGTTTGACCGACGCTCAGGGCTATGTCGGGCCTCATGTTGAAAAGGGTTCTGCTGAACTCCTGCACCGCCAACGAGTCCATGTCGCCGCCCACCGCTAGTGGCGCGAACCCAGAGCACCACGCCTTGTAGTTCTCTCTCATTGCTTCGAAGAGTTGATCTAGATCCTCTTGATCAAAGCCCCCCAAGTAATCTACATCGTTAAGGTACCTGTTTGAAATAAACAGATGTAGGAGACGATGATCAGAACAAAACAATAATTAGATTGAGAATAAAATATTGAAGAACTAATATTATATATTAGTTTAAATGGCTAAAAACGACGGGAAGATCGTCAAATATTAGTTAAAAATTTGTTCTAATGATTTGGAACAGTTAAAAAATACAAGCTGACGCGCAGATTCCTTCTATGAATTTAATCGGTTTCTAAATTTGTGCAGAGAGTCTTACCGAGGAGAAGCAGAGATCATGACGATCTTAGAGAACAGATCGGGACGGGTAATGGAAGCTATGGCTCCTACCATGGCCGAAACAGAGTGGCCGACGAAAATACACGACTCGACTTGCTGGTCTTCTAAGATAGCGAGAAGATCATAAGCGAAGCCTTCGAGAGTGGCATATCGTCCGAAATCGAAGTAGTCGGGGTTGGTTGTGCCGGCACCCATGTTGTCGTACAAGATCACGCGGTGGTCGTCGACGAGGTGCGGTACGAGGTGCCTCCACACCGACTGGTCCGTGCCGAAGCCATGTGCGAGAACTATGACCTGCTCGCCCGAGCCCAGCACCCTGACGTTGTGAGCTTCCTCTACGATTCCCATCTCTGCGAGCGGGTTTTGGTTTTGGTCTGTGGTGTGAAATCCAGCACGCACACTTATTCTTCTATTGGATATTTATTTATTTATTTATTTTCATTTCGTCTTTGAAGTGGCTTAAGGGGAAGGGATTGTTTAGGACCACAGATAAGATTTTAGAGTTTTAATCCAGTGGATCGTGGTTACAGTAAGTCCATCCATGTCATCGGAATCAACGGTTGCGAATGTATTGATCGGGGACCGAGATGAAATGATACGGCGTCGTCTGGCAGATCTCTCTGAGCACGATGGAGATATTTTGACGCAACGGTGTGCGTTGGTTTGGCGTTGAAGTGGCTACGTTATTAACGAAGACATAAGACGATACAGAGATTATAATTTTCATCAAAGAAGAAGAAAGCAGCCATTTTCGCATTAATTCGGCGCCAGTTCATACATTACAGAAATAGACAAGCATCTGTCCGAACGGCAACCTGTTCCAACTTCCGAATGCAGTCTGGCAGCTTGGTCGAGGATGAGGAGAAAAATATAAAATAAAAATAATTATTAAAAAAAGCGCAGCACGGGTACAAGTAACAGCAAGAAGTCCAATTGGTTTACTAAACTGCGTCGTTTCATTAAACGATTGACATTTTTTTTTTTTTTTTTTATAACAATTCTGTGTTTAAGTCCATTTTATTATTTTTGTATCTCCTTATTAGACAATTACATTATAAATAGTGTTTATATGTAACATAGAGATTCATTTATTATGTGCTTATGGTAAATTATTGAGTCAATCTTTCACTTCAATTAAGGTAGTAAATAATTTCTATACCATTAGCCAACTCTTTTTTTTCTTTGTTGGGTTGAAAAATTGTAGACGGGATAAAAGAGCATCGAGAACATTTTATATTTGGATATTAAATTATTGCTTAACCATCAATTAAATTTTATATTATTGATTAATCTATTTAAATCTTTTTTTAGACTTACACAATTACACGTAATAAAAAATTATTTATAATAATTATAAATTTACTAATATATTTTTAAATAATTTAATTTGAAACCCATGTAAAAAAACAACAATAAATAAGATATTGCAACCATAATAATATAAGTTTTTGCCTCAAACAAGCTCTCCATACATAATCTTGTTCCTCCATTTCCAAGTACAATCAAAAGGGCTGAAGCATACAGTAAGAATTTTTAACAAAGTTTTATTCGCTCTTTGCCTTTACATTGTGATTTTAGTATGCTATTAAATGAATATAATTAATTACAATCTCTTATTTAGAGCTAAAACCATAATAGCTTAATGAAAATTGATACACCGACGAAATTATACGTAACTAGTAGAACCTTTTGGCTTACGAATAAAACCATCAACAGTTTAAAGATAAATTTTTTTATATATTTTAATCGAGGTATCACTCCCTACTAAGTTACAAGCTCATTTTCATGGACTTTCTCTAGTTTGTAGATACCTGTAACATTTATTTTAATTATAATATGATAGCAACTTTTTTGTCTAAATCAAATACCGACGAGAAATTAGTATTTTTAATTATTTAGATCTAAAATTGAATTTAATTAAATTGAGTTTGTTTATTCTTTTTTTTTTTCTATTTCATTGTTATAATGTTTTAATTTTATAATATTAAATATTAGTGAACATTGTTCTTAGCATGTGACATAGTGGGACTTACATATATTTATATATTTTTTTGACCTACTAGTCCATTTTCTTTTCTTTAAATTACTTAATGAGATCCCGCGTTGAGAGGGAATAAATTGTAATTTTATGTAATGCCTAAGTTTAAATTTAATATAAATTAAATTAATTTAAATATAATTTTTTATCTTTTTTAATTTTAGTTTAGAGTAAAAATGAAGTAAATTTAATAGAGAATGAAATTGAAAACAATTTCAAGAAAAATGGGTGAAAATTTGGGTTATATAGATATTTTTGAAAGAAAAATAAAAAATCGGGGATCGAAATATAATTTAGAAAAATTTTGCCACGTAGGATGTCCGGTCAGCAGTACCGACAAACCAGGACGCGTCGCGTAGCAATGGATGCTGACGCAGTGCCACGCAGGCGATGGGTGTGCCCGCGATCGAACAGCTCAGATCCATTCTCGCCCACACGAATGGCCCGGATGCGTTCCCTCCCCAAATGCGATCGGACGGTTCAGATTAGATTGTGATGAACGGTCCAGATTCACTCCCTATTTAATCGCAATCGAACGGTTCAGATCAAACGCGATGAACGGTTCATATTAAAAAAGAACGAGTATAAATAACCCTCTTCACACTAAACTCTAACCCTAGCCACCAGTCACCCTTACCGGAGAAGAAGACCCGGTCGCCGGGAAGGAGAGCTGCCGCCACCCGCCACCGCGCCGGAGCTACTTCCGACTGCCAAAAGAGGTAAAAAAATTTCATTTTGCTCAGAATTCAATTTTAAACACCCTTATGGCTAAATCGGAACAAAAAGGACCGGCTGATTGGCCGAAAATCGCGGGCAAAACTCGGCAGCGCTACCATAGGGAATTTTACAAAACGCCTCCGATGAGACCTTTTCCGATTCCCGTTCAGTGAAATTTTTCTATCATTGTGATCACTGTTTCTTTCTCTATAGGTTGACTGGAGTAAAACACCCAACTGCAACGTAAACCGGAGGAGCCACCGCACCGGAGAGCTCCGTCACTGGTGAGTTTCTATTTTTTGTATTTTTTTTAACCAACCAAGGCTTCTTAACGTGTTTCTCGCAGGGATTGATGTAAAATCGGCCGAAAACAGTTGACCTGAGGCAGACTGCCGCCGACGGCGATGGCGTCATCGCCGTGCTGGAATTCTGGAATTGGCCAAAATATGCTGATTTTGGGGTTGTTTGGGATATTTATAGGTACTTATAGCGCGTTTTTAATTTCTGAAGAAAAATTTAGGGAACCCGAGGACCGCCAGTAGGTGCAGTCAATAGTTTAGCCTTTCGAACATCAAATTGAGTAATAATCATTCACCATATTCTCTGTTATAGAATTGAAGTCTAATTGACAATAAATATGGTATTTCGTTACAATTTAGAAAATGTTCATAATTAATTACGGATTACTAATGGAGTCATAACCGAAAATTATCTACTATTGTTCTATTGATTATTTTTACAGTTTAAATGTATGATAGTACTTTATTGATTGATTTTATAGTTTTGAATACATATATTGTTTGATTTATGTGATTGCCATTGAATTAGAAAAATGGAGACTAAAGAAAAACGAAAAATTATGTGATTAAGTGAATGGATGAAACGACAGCTTCACTGAATATCATGGGAGATGGTGGATGGACCGGGTACAATAGAGAACTCTATTGTGAACGTTGTCTCATATCAGATGGGGTATCGAGACTTAATAATTTGGCGCTCATACCGGACGGAGTATGAGAACTGCCCGTTTTACCCTCATACCGGACGGAGTATTGAGATTTAGTAGTTTGACACTCATACTAGACGGAGTATGGGAACGACCCGCAATTGAAAAATGTTAAAAAAAATAGTTCACATGTAGCGGGGACATCCCTATGAACCCCCATAGATACTAGTAGGTTAATAAAAATAGGCAATTGTTGTTTTGATGATTCGAATATGAAAGCATAGTATAAACTATGTTGCCGTCTATATATGAAATCATGATATGTATAATGTTATTGTTTATATAGGTTATTTTTATAAATCTCAATACAGTAGATGGACGTTAAATAGTTTTATTATTAATAAATAAATTTGCTTAATTAAGTACTCAATTAGTTGTTTTGATTTTTTAACAATCTTCATTTATGTGTCAGTGAGTTGACGTAGTATTTTTACTAGGATAGTGTACCTCATTTCTTATTTAATCATTTCAGATCATAATACTATTTGGTATTTTAAGTTATTGTGTAATGAATGTAAATCTTAATATTTTATTACGCTTTCGCACTTAAATTATCATTTATTTCTTTTAAATATTTTCAAAACTATTATATTTTATTTTTCATAATAACTTAAAATTAATCCATCTAGAAAAAAATATTACCTTGTCGGAACAACATAATTTTATTTTGCCCAAATGAAATCATCAAACGACAAACAATAACACGAATCCTACAGCACATGGCTCCCTAAGCGAGGAAAAATCAAATTTCATCACAGAGCAAATCTCCAAGCAAACTGGAATTACAGTATAAAAAAATAATTATTAACATATTAAATTACCCACAAGGCTAATAATTAAATTAAATAAACTAACAAAATGAAATCAGCATAATTAAATGTGCTGTAGATTCAGAAGATGTCAGATAACTAAGTCAGAAAATAAAAAAAAATTAAAGAACCAATTGATCGGTTCATATAAATCGATACAACAGACAGAGCACGGCTCACGTTAGCAATTCTATTCATCTATACGACGCCGTTTTACTCGCCCCCTCAGTCATTTCAGGTTTCTACGAGGCAGGCAAAAAAAACAAAGTCATAAATGAACCACGTGATCATCTCCACAATAGACAATTCGGAAAGTGTCATCTACTGAAATAATTATCAATAAAAATATTATTTTTATCACATAAAATACGTGCAGTATCTAATATGTAAAAAAAAAAAAAAAAATAATAATAATTTGAAAAACTTATTTTGTTAGTTGGCCAAAACAAAAACAAAAACAAAAACAAATGGTGAGTCACTAAAGTAGTCCCCAAATAATTGAAAGCGCCGTAACTAAATTTGATAGAGTTTTAATAAGATATAGAAAAAATTAATACATTAATTTTATATGAAATTGTATCAAACATTAAAAAAATTATTTCAAATTATACTAAAATTGATATATTTCGAATTTATAATTTAAATTTCAGGTATATATTTTGTTTATTATTTTATTTTTAAATAAATTTAAATAAAGATAATAAGAATAATTTTTAAGTCAATACATGTATAAAAGCACAATAAATTTTATTTATTACTTTAATCGAAGTAACTATAGTTCAAATTGTTTAAAAAAATACAAAATTTATTAATAATAATTGAAAGGTAGAAGTTTATTTGTCCTATATTTAATTTCCAATTGGACATTCTGAGTTGCGTGCACATATTTTCGACCATATCTTATTTTTTAATAATAATTAAAAGGCAAGTTGGAGATTAAAAATGGGTATACGTACCTGCCCCATTATTTGGACGTGACAACAATTAATAAGTTCGAGTTCTTGTAACAGTCGGTTCCACCCGGCTTTAAAACCTCACCCGGTTAGGCGGTCTGTCACCCAAACAGGCCAAAAAGTCAACAGATTGACCAAACCATGTGGCAACTTTCTAACAACAGAAATAGAATTACCAATTTCTGATGAAAATACAAAATTTTTATATTTTTATATAAAACCAACTAAAATTGCAACTAAATTTAAAATAAATACAAAATTAAGAATTATAAGTGGATAGCTGACATTAAGATATTATAATTATTATTATTATATTTTTGTATTTTTTTTTTTGACAATGTCAATAAAATAAAGAACTCTTAAATTAAAGCAAATATGACAGATATTTTCTTACTGAGGAAAAATTAGTCATAAAAATAATTACATAAAAATATATAAAAATTTAATCCAATCCAATGGAACCATTGTCATTCCAGTAAAGCATACAAAGTTAACAACTGGAGCAGCCAACAAGCAAGTAACCATTAGATCAGTTTAGTTCAGAGATTCAAGAATGGTGAAGTAGCTCCGATTCCTCTATTCGCATAATTATATACAACATAATCCTCTTCAAAATTATCTTCATTTATTAACAACCTTAATTTTAGTTAATTAATCTATCATATATATATATATGTATATATAATTAACAAGAACATAGACAGTAGAAAGGGTTAAAGAGTTCAGTTCAGAAACTTCCGGGAAGTGGTTCATTTGCTTGCGTTGCGTTAAGAGAGAAGATATCAACAGGGGCACTAGTGCAACCAATAAGGTTGGATCCAGAATTTGAATCAGAATGCGACGGATGATCTAAGTAAATTACAATCACGGTAATGTCGTCGTGGAAATGGCGCCGTACCCCTTTCTCCATTCTCTTTATGTCTTCATATTTCATCTCTCTCTTTTTCGCAGCCTTGTCTAGCGCGGCTCTTACTAATCTCTTTGCTATTCCCTGCGCAACAAATACTTTCATCAGTGTGTCTGGTCACAGATTGACAATGCAGCAGTACAATTACACTCAAACTTAAGAACCTTTGTGTAATTTGTCAGTAAATTAATTAAAGTTCAGATAACTTGAATAATCCAAAATTTGGAACTTGAGTTTGTAATTATTGTTTTAAGTGATAGTTTTAAGGTGGTTGATCATAGTTTCTTAATATTGTTTTCAAGTGTTAAAACAAGCAAAACATGAAAGCAAGATGTTTTGTGTGGGAGGCTGATTACCGCTCTTGGGCTTTTTAATACGATTCCAGTAGCTTCTCCATCACTTAATTGCTCCCAAAGTCCATCAGATGCAAAAATCAAGAACAAGTCTTGAGGCTTCAGCTTTCGGATTAGTATGGAGGGCTCTGCTGTCATCACCGGCCTCTTTAAAGGAATGGGTGATGCAAACTGCTGAAAAAGAGGATCTCTATTGAACTCGGGCTTCTTTAGATAGACATCTCCAATAGACCTCGAAACCTGAGAAGGAGAAACTGTTTGAGAAAAGCATAGGAATTCATATCACACTGATGCCCAGATGTTTTGACAGCAACAGATATGCATGTAACACATTCGTCTATACATACATATGACATTGATAAGTGTATACGTATGCATGTATCCTGAGAAGGCTTCTTAAATAGGTGAAGCATGTGATTCCTTAACTTCACCAGAATGTTCCAGATATAGAAATCATTCTATCTATTTAAAACTTTCATATTGTAGGTCCAAATTCAATAGAAGAAAAAGATGAAAAATTTAGAAGGTTATGCTTTTCATTTACTCTCGTTCATGTCAGCGGTCATTCTTTTAAAGTGGCCGAAAAGGCAGAAACATGTAATTTACAGATGGATATCAATAGGGAAAGAAATATAGACAGCACAGATGTGATTGGATGAATACAGAAGACAACCAGTTCAGTTTCAAAGATTTCTATTTGCCATTCTTACAAAGAACTGACTGTTAATCTTTTATAAAAAAAAACGTATGACCATGATCTTCCTGTTGTCATGAGTCACTTGAATTGCAAGGGCTTTTGAGATCAAGGAACAAAGATCAAATATCTTATTGTTTTTATCTAATAAAAGAATGAACTGTTTTCACCCTTTTCTGAATCTATGCTTCTGTCTTATTTTCTCATATAGAAGCTAAGAAGCTAGTTTTCAACCAATATCAATAATGTCCTAAAATTCCTTCTGAAAAATATCAGCAGTATGCATCTCAAGACAAACATATCTTCAACATACTTGGACACACTTGAGGTAAGATGAAAATATGCAGGAAGTTAAAAGTGAGAATTATGGAACATTGCAACATCAGGGGGAGCTAGCATGTAGGAGGTGAGATATAACCTTATAGCAAGAATCTCACGATCTCAATAATTTTGAAATATCAAACAGCATAAAACCAGCTTCTAAAAGAAAACAAGAATCTGAATCTGTCACATAGCAATCATATAATGAAAATAGATGCCTAATCCTTAGATGGTAGAATTCAAGTCAAGAACAAATTAAGTGCTTAATCAAAAAGGGGGACCATTTCTGCATTGCAAAAGAATAATGGATAATTGAGTACATGATGCTCATGCAATAACAGCAGAGTTAAAGCTTTCGATTTTGCAAATAACCAACATTTTAATTTTTGTTCTAATGTGAAGATGGATATATATAACTTGCAAAAAACCTGCTATAAGAATTTCGAATATCAATTCAATCCAGTCTAATTAGCATGTACAAGAAATAGATGTCAAACACCTGAAGCATAAGCTAAAATCAACTGAAGACTGCCCAAAGTTGCAGGATCAAACTGTAATGAACTCTGCTACAAGGTAGGTATAACAGGAAAACACATCTAAAATTATGCATCTCAATTGAGTTAAACTTATTACAGTTCCCTTGCCGTCCGTCTGCTTCAATTCCCATCAATAGTATCAAACCTAAATCTCGAATTAGCTAAAATGAAATGGAAATTGAATCAAACAGGAACTTTTTGGTGTAACCAAACATCATTAATCTTATTTGAAGAACGAAAATGGCATTAAAATATGCAATTATAGTATACGAAACCCTTAATATTAAAATGATACCTGAATTATCCCCTTTATTCGCCAAACTCCGCGTGTATAGACAACAATGTGTGAATCATCGGGATGAAGAGCTTCAACCTCCTTCCTCACCTCCTCAACACAGACATTATGATCAGTAGATAAACGCTCAGCAATCACCGGAGAGTTCATCTTATTTCGAGATTCTCGCCGGCCAAGCACTGCCCTGGAGTCACCCAGATTGGCCACGTAAAGAACATCGTTGACAATGGCCCCAACCAGACAGCATGAACCAACTGAAGCAATCTGTGGCCGCGCCGTCCATGATCGCTTCACCAAATGCAAGAACTCCTCTTCTGTTTTATCAAATGCTTTTCTTATCACGTCTGCTGATATTCCACCATGCTCTGATGCATACTCTGAATATAAAGATTAAAATTAGCATTTTAATTGAATATAAGAATGGAATTTTGGAAGATAGAAATCGATCAATTCTTAGAAAATGTTTACCAAAATTAATTGTGCTGCACCTACTAGATTAAAACAACTAAACTTCTCAGTTCACAGGCCTCAAAACAATAATTGAAAGTACATGAAACACAGTAATCAAAATCTGATCTAATTTTTCTCTCCCATTGTCTCAAACTTTCTCGGGAGCCAAACAGAGTTGAGAGAAGCAATGAAGCAGCAATTATACTACTCACCGTGGAGAAAAGGGAACAGATGTTGCGTAATGAAACGAGAAGCCTCTGGACCGCCATGGCCATCATAGACGCCGACGTAGGTGGCGGAAGGTGTAGTCAAGACCTGCCCCTGGTCCTCGAGAGAAGAATTTGCTTGAACCACCGCAATTGAGTAATCCCCGGAAGCGTGTGGCCTCAAATCCATGTGCCATAGCAATCCATCCCCACTCCCTCCTCCTCCAAAACACCTCTCCAGCGGCCTCGTACACATCTCCAGCATCGTCACTTTCCTTCGCTCTGTTTCTCAACTCCTCTTTCTGTGTGTAAAATCTACGATAACGTGTAGAGTGCTTGGGAAGAACCTATATGATAAGTTTGGTTGATGGTTGACAGAAGTCTTTGACGTATCTGTTGGGTTTTCAGGGCGAGAAGAATTTTGAATAAATAAATGAGGTTTCAAATAGTTGCTTGTTAGCAACCAAGGAGAGAGAGAAAGGACGAATTTTCCCGGAAAATTAATGTGAATAGAGAATGATAGTGGAGATAATTTGTTCTGTTGCTTACGCACTTCTTTCTATGTTTTTAAAAACTATTTTTTATTTTACAAAAAATAATATAAAAAATATATAATTGATTAAATTATATGAAAATTCAATCTAAAAATAAAATATTAAACCTTAAATAAATTTCAATAAAATTGAAGTAATTAAATCGTACTAAACTATTAAAATGTAAAAGATTATATTAATTTAACCTAACATTTATCAGATTAAGTTTTTATTGGTTAAGCTAAAAGTATATTTTAAAGATAAAAATCCTAATTAAATAATTAGATTTTAAGCACGATAAAAAAAAAAAAAAAAACCTTATAAATTTTAAAGTAGTTAGCGCGTGAGTGGGTGGGAAAGGGAACGGTTAAGGGAAGGCCGAATGGTTCAAAGTAAACGGTTAGTAATAGACAAAATGTGGAGCTGACGTGGACGGAGAAAGCTTATCCACTGCCGTGTCAGACCGAACCTGGTTCTTCGATGCGCATTCAGCGGCTGCCAAGTCAGCCCTCATTTTTTAAAAAAACATTTATTTGCACGTCTTGTAAATTTATTATAAATATCCTACGTGTACTCTATTTTCTTATTAAATTAATAGAGAATTTTTAAATTTGTTCATTTTTAAATTAATTTTTAATTACTTTAAAAGAAATAAATTTTATTTGGACCTCGGAATGTACATTTGCCAAGTCGTGTACAAGTTTCTATATGCATGTATTTTATCCCTATATATTCTTATGAAATTCTTTGATAGATAGTTATAGATGTCAAAATATTGTGTATGTTTATCATGTATTTATGAAATGCATGAGTGTGTTTATGAAATAACTAATTCAAAATAAAAATATTTTTTTATAAAATATTTAAATGGTAGTTTAAAGAACTTCTATTTTATTATTAATTTATCATTATTTTCTCATATTTTAAAAACCCAATGATTAAATATATACAAAGTTAAAAATATTAGTAATACTATTATGAACTCATAAAATAAAAACTAAAATAATATTTTCATTTAATAAACAAAATCTTAATTTCTTGTGGGAAGTCTAAATTGGAAAAAAAATTTAAATTTGCATATAATTTATTTACAAATTAGTTACATTTATGATCGTTTATTTAATTAATATAATTAGATAGATGTAAAGGCTTAGAACTTAAATAGAAATAAAATTATAAATTAAATGCGGAAGCGAAATAATAGATTTAGAGTTTATATTCTTTACACAATAATTTAGAATGTCCAATAGGGTTACTCTTCTAAAAAAAAACTAATAAAAATTAAAGAAACAAACGAAAAGTAAATCACTAAGTATTTTAGAATGACTTTCACTACCTTTTGAAGGGAATCCGAAACCCTCTTATTGATTGGGATATGGATTTTGGTCATCTTGATCTGAAATAGTTAATAAAAATGTGAGATATACTAGCTCAGTAAGAATATCAAACTAATAACATATATGGAAAACTGACTATTGATAAAAATCAGAAAAATAACCAATTGAGCCATTAATTTAATATAAATTTATTTACTATAAAGAAAACTATTTATTCCATATTTGTGTAACAAGTATTCCCAACAATAACTTATAAAAATTTATATTCATGTATCACTATTTATCACATATAAGATAATAAGAAATGATTATTTTATATTTTTACTCACTTACTGATTTTTTGGGGGTCTATGGGGATGTCCTCCTACTCGTGAACCTAATGTCCAATTAAACAGTTAACATGTCTTCCCTATAACCCGTCCGGTATGGGCGCCAAACATGCCACCACCTCGATACCTTGTCTGGTATGAGGGTGAACCATATTTTCCAAACATTATTGATAAGGGACTTCTCAATCCTGTCTGACTGAGGTAATGTTCATGGTAGAATTTTCTATGTACTGGGCCCGTTCGTACTTTTTCGAGTATCCAGTAAGTATTTCCTATACAAATTTTCATTAGCATAATAATCAATCATGCAATAACCATATCACATTTTATACTCACCGTTCACTTAAATAACAATATAGTTTAATATAGTCAAATAACCAATGACCGAAATACCGGCACAAAATGCAAGAAAAACAAATAACTAAATAACCAAAAAGTCCCTAAAAATTATCAATTGAGTTACGCATAAAATAATAGTAACCAAATATAGGCAATATAAGAAAATAAATAGGAAATCGAAACAACCATGAACCAACCGATTCTGGCTCCACTAGTAACCTGTAATTATTTTTAAAGTTCTCTAATTTTTCATAAAATAAACATAATTATTAATTATTAAGCCTCAATTTGCCGTAACGAAGAAAATGGTGAGGGATTCTTACCCGAATTGATGTTTTAGACGCCGCGATATCTACTATGTTTTCCAATGGGTACCAAAATTTCTAAATTATCCATGTGAAATGCAAAACACTTGTCACGTACCTAAAATACCATAGGAACCCAAAATTGGTGTCCAAAACTTGTTCTGG